GCCCGCGGCTCCCGCCGCTCGCTCCCAGCGCCGGGCCTCGGGCCCTCGCTCTGGGGTGGGGCTCTAGGTGTCCCCGAAAACAGGACCTTTGACGACCTTACGGTCTTCCGCCGTGACCAGAGAGTTTCCCTGTCTCCCGCCGGCCCCTACGACTGTCACAAGGGCACTTAATAGGAATATTACTCCCGTTTGCTCCGCGCCAGTTACTGTGCACCCTGCAGAGCGCCCCGCACCTTCACCTCGTGTAACCTCCCGTAACCAGCCAACCGGATATTACTGTCCCCGCTTTACAGACAGGAGGGGCTCCCAGGTGCTTAATTGCCCGAGGAGCAGAGACTAGGCGGTGGCCGAGCTGTAGAGGGCACCAGGTGTGTGATTAGGTCCCCTGGACTCAACCCTGGCGCGGCGCCCCCCTCCTCTTCCTCCTTGTGCTCCTGCCCCTCCCCCTTTCCTTTCCCTCCCTCCTCTTACTGCTCTTCGCTCTAAACCTTATTACTACATTAATAACATTTAATGCTCTCTTTTTTGTTTACAAAGCCTTTTCGCGCACAGTCGTGCTGGTCCCCGAAGCACTAGGAGACAATGGGATCTAATGATGCCTGTCTTGCAGCTGGGAGGAGCCGGGGCCTAGGTTGTTCAGCGTCTTGTCCAGCCGGGCTGCAGGATTGAGGCAGGCATTATTGCTACAGTTTTACAAAGCGAAGAAGCCCAGTCTGGAGGGGGGTTGGTGTCTCTTCTTTTAGCTCACCGAAAAAGCAAGGGGGTTCCCGAGCAGGAAAGGAACTTGTCTCAGCTCGGGTCTTCAGAGACAACGCAGTTAGAAAAAATCAGCTCTGATCACTCGCTCATGCCCTCTCAGAGGCCAAATAAAGCAAAGTGAAGTTCAAGATCAAGGTGTGTAGTATAGTCCAATTATTGTTACATTTAAAACAAGGGGTCGGTTGCTCCTGGGCACAGTCACACGTGTGTCCAATAGATGACCCCTACTTGCTTTCAGTGGTCTCTGCAGCTTCTGACCTGGGGCTCCTGCTCCATCTTGACTAACCAAGTTCTTCACTTTCATTTATTAACAAGTATTTATTTGAGAGCCTCTTCTTTTGTCAAGATCACTCTAAGAACTGCAGTCATATTTCCTTCTCTACCTTTTTCTAAAACAGCAATTTCTGCAAAAATTGAGTTTTTAAGTCCAATGGTTTTGCACACCAGTGGTTCTGTACCCTGCTTAAGATCCACAATTCCCAGAAATGGTTTTGAGAGATCCTAAGTCAAAAGACCAGAGGGGCCTTGCTTAACTCGGTTTCCCTCCGGTGTTGGACTCTGCTGGTGGTTGACTTGCAAGAATGAGGCCTATACAAATCTGCCCCTCAAGGAGCTCACAGATGGGAGAGACAGCAATTGTGATATTGGTATATGTGTGTTTGTTAATAGAGACATTTGCAAAGCTCTGCAAAGGAGAAAGGGAGCCATTATACTTGCATAGGTCAGAAAAGGCTTTGAAGTTCAGAAGTTATCCAAGTATGAATTTTGTAGGTAAGAAGATGGGTAAGAATATTGCATAGAAATAACTACCTAGAGGCATATAGGTATATACTTAGGTTGGTCTTTCTGGTGAGTATTATTAAGTATTATTCAAGATTCTCTCTTTTTTTTTTTTTTTTTGCATGCAGTACAAACTAGGTTAAGCAACAAATGGCATCCATCAACTTGCATAATTAGAAGTGTTTAGTGCTTTAGACATGGCTGGATCCAGGTGCTTAAACTTTGACATCAGCATTAATCTTCTCCCCACTTCATGACTCTGCTTTCCTTTGTGTTGATTTTTCACGCTCAAGCTATCTTTCCCCATGAGTGGCAGAATGCTTGCAAATTTGAATCATATTCTTACCAGCAGAGTTTATTTTCCCCAGGTAGAATAGAACACAAAACAGGCAAAGGAAAAATCTAGAACACCACCATGATAGGCAAAGGAAGAGTTGCCATCTTGTACCAACCAACTAGGTTGTGAGCAACTCGAGACCCAGGGGAGGAGAATGGAATCTTCCACACCCTCTTCTTTCCCGTTGTGGGTGGCCAGGTGACGGTCACACAGTGTGTAACAAATGCTTGTTATGAATGAACTGGACACCGGAGCACATTTCTAATACTCCCTCCCTCCCTCCCCGCATCACCGTGAGGCTTGACCTACAGGAAAAGAGAGAGTGAAAGCGATCCCTTGGCTCCATCCACTGAAACCCCTGCCAAGGCTGATAAGCATTTTGCAGTCCTGGAAAACTCAAGAAGCCTCGGTCAGATGATGCTACACATCCTGAGGAGCACAGCTCTTGTCTTGCAGGAAAATTTCCAGACTGGAGATTTCATTTCAGATTTTCTTATCCTAACTTGAGTCGGTTTAACGGTCAATACTCGGAAATGTCTTTATTAGATGTGTTAGGCTTGTGGGAGGGAGTAATGCAAGTACAGAAGGTGGCCACGTCAACCTGAAATAGTTTGCTGGTGGGATGGAAAGGGATGGGGCCGTTTTGGAAACACCTCACCTGTGACCCCGAAATTCCACTCCTAGATACATACTCAAAAGAAAGGTGGGTGAATTTCCACTGAGAGAGAAAAAAAAAAAAAACAGAGACAGAGACTTAGACAAGAAAGCTCAACATCTTCATCCAGAATATTACCAGATTGGAAACGTTCCCCAATATCCATCAACAGAACAATGATAAACTATGGCATATTCAAAAATGGAGTAGTAATATAATAGAGATAAAGAATGTCGAACGGATATACATAACAATATAGATAAATCTAAAAAGTATTTAATAAGCAAAAGGATTAGCTACGTACCCAAGGGTCTAGATGTCTGATTCCGTTTACATGAAGTTCAAGAAGAGGCGAAAGTACTCTGATGATAAGCATCAGAACCGTGGTTGCTTCTGAGGAGTGGGGATTGATCAGAAAGGGCACAAGGAAACATCCAGGGCTGGTGGAAATGTTCTTTTCATGCCAACGAAATATAAGCCTTAAATATAGCTAATGACAGGTCCGGGGAGCTATCTTTTCACTTCATTTTTTTAGTGGCTGGACAGAGGCAGCAGAATGCTTCATGGAGTCGGATGTATTGTCAACCGTGTGTCCTTTGAGCAAGTTCTTTAACCCATTGAGCTTACTTTTCTCATATGTTAAATAGAATTGATGAGAACTTGCCTTGTAGGGTTGTTTTATAAATACCAGACACATTAGGATGCCCAGTGAGCATTAAAGGGTTTATAACGTTTACAGGTTAAATTTTATTATATTATTATTTTTTTACCCAACGAGATATGAGCAAAAGAAAACTGTCTTAAATGGAAGAGGCACTGCTTCCCTTTTTTTCCTAGCCTACCAAAGTGACCATGATGACTGGAGCTTCAGCAGCCATTTGGGACCAGAGAGTAACCTTGAAGATGACAGCCACATGTTGGAATGATGGAACAGAATGATGCCTTGTGACACCAGAGTTGCCCTACCAGCCCCGGGTTGCCTACATCTAGGCTGCCTTTACCTGGGAGAGAAACATTTCTGTATCTTATTAGGTGTCTGTTGCAACCAAACATCATCCCAGCTGATATACCCTGGTAAGTAACCCTGTAGCTCCTGTACTACTTCTTCACAGCACCTATCATAGATAGAGTTAAGAGGATCATTATGCAATAACGGATATTGCCCAAGTCCCCAACTAGAATAGGTACAGGGACTAGTTTGTTCACTCCTGAGTCCATATATATTATATGTAAATAGTAAGTGCTCAGTAAACGTGGAAGAGAGCGAGGGAGTGAACAGCTGCTGCTATGAGAAATCCCCTCAGGAGAAACCATGGCGTGGGAAAGGAAGAAGGCAGAAGCCAGAACCCAGCCTGCTTCAACTCTGCCAGGTTTTCTTTGCCTTTGCCTTCACCTTTGTCCCATCAGTGGGCACCTGGGTGTGTGGATATGTAAACTCATGGTCTGCCATCCACTCTAGACCTTCTGGGATTCGTCTCATAGATGGTATGTTGCCTTCCATCAGCCAGCTTCCCTGGTAGTCCCCTCCTGTGTCCCCCACTCCGGGCGGATCAGCCGTCCCCCAGGCATCGAGGAAGGCCAACCAGTTGTTTGCAGGATTCTACAGTGTGTCGTCACCACCGTGTTCAACAAGGGTTGGGAGATGAATGGTGTCAATTTTTGAATTTTGCACCTTCTCACTACAAAACTGGACTTGGTTCTGTAGGTGATTTGGAAGCAAAAGCATAAATAAGAAAATTAAAGTCAGCTTCACTCCTACGATCCAGAGATAGTCTCTCTTCAGTATTTTCATATTTCCTTCCAATCTGAAGATTAGGTTTCTCGTTGAAGTCATTGAATTTGGATCTCCTGTCTCTTTGATCACACATTAGATTACAAGAATATCCTGTGTTTCAAAACGTATTTGAAAGGGTTTTTAAACAGATGATCTAAGATTACAGTGATTAATACATTTTATGTAATGTTACATCGTATTACAATATTGGCAATTATTGTGTTTGCTCTTTGACTCTTTGAGCTATTCCCTTATTTTTAGAATCAAGATTTCTTTCAAAATTTCCTTCTCTAACTAACGCTACGAGGAATGCCTTTATACGTAAACACAACATTGCACTTCTGTTTATTTCCTTAGCGTGGAGCCCAGCGGAGGTTGCTAGGTAGAAGGGCATGAAGCTTTAAAAACTCCCGTGGAAAAATCACAAAGTGCACTTTGGAAAGGTGCAGGAACGGTCCCTCCCACATCCTCAACCTAAATCTCACACATCCTCTATAATACTGAGAGCTGCGTTTAATTCTGAAAGGCTTTTCCTGTTCAATGGGCCACAGACAAAAAACAACCGGCCAACCAAACGAAAAAGCCATGGCATCTTGATTATTAGGAGAATAACCTTTTTCTGTGTGGGCATCCTTTGAAAAGTGCCCAGCTCCTTCTCCTGTCAGCTCTTAGCATTGTTTCATTGGTTACAACAACACGGCCAATGGGTGAACAGTGACCTTTTTATGGTATTTGTTGAAATTTTCTCTTAATGACTTCCCTCTTGAAATTTTTCTTTCTTTTCTTTTCTTTTTTCTTTTTTTTTTTTTTTGATATGGACATTTTACAGTTTGTATGTGAATGTGTTGAACTTTGGACCTCTTCACTTACTGATTGTGACCTTCATTTTGTTTTCTGATGGTCTGTTCCCTTAAAATTTATTTTAATATGAAAACATGAAGACTCAATCTGAAATTCTTTCTCCAGTAGCTCTAACACTTGTTGTTAAGTAACCCACTTTAGAGCTGGGCTCAGTGGCCTAGGCCACTACTTGGGAGGATGAGGCCGGAGGATCATACGTTTGAGGTCAGCCTCAGCAATTTAGTGAGACCCTGTCTCTGATAAAATAAAAAGGACTTGGGATACAGCTCAGTGGTAGAGCTCTTGCCTAGCATGTGGGAAGCTCTGGGTTCCATCCCTAGTACTATAAGGAAAAAAAAATCCATTCTACCCACTGTTTCATACACACACGATTTGGTATATATATTTTACATAGTTCCACATTATTCCTTCTATCTCCTGGATGTAGCTGTGAGTGGAAATGGTTTTGGTGGCTGTAGTTTTATTATCTGGAAGGGCACGTCAGGGTACACATATTTCAGATACTTTTCAGAAAAGTTTTACCAATCTGTGCTGCCTCCTCCCGCCCACCCCTTCCCACACCCCCAACCTCAGCTGTGCAAAAGCCACCAGGGCTGTGGGAGGTCTACTTCAAAGTCTCCAGGGCGGGGCTCAGTGGCAGGGCCCTGGCCCAGCATGCACTGGGTTCAATCCCCAGCACTGCAAAAAAAAAAAAAAATGTCCTCAGAAGACACAGGCTGACACCTGC